AGGAATCGGTCCCTTCCGTACATCGTCCCGCATCAGAATGGCCCAGCAACCCCTTTAATATGCACATGGAATGGGTTTATGCCCTTGAAAGAAAATAAAATAAAATTTAAAGGATGTTTTCCAGGGCACGTGACCCGTTCCTTCGTACGACTACCGCGGCGGGGTTTTCTCTTCCATAACCCCTGTGGACTCCAGGGTAGGTCACCCGCTCCTCACGGCTGTGCTGCGGCACGGTGTGTGGTGTGTTCGTCCGTAGCCCCTGCGAACTCCAGGGTAGGCCAACCGCTTCTCACGGCTGTGCTGCAGCACGGGGTGTGGGCGCCCGCGTATCCCCTGCGAACTCCAGGGTAGGCCAACCGCTTCTCACGGCTGTGCTGCAGCACGGTGTGGGCGCCCGCGTAGCCCCTGCGAACTCCACGGTAGGCCAACCGCTTCTCACGGCTGTGCTGCAGCACGGTGTGTGGTCGCCTGTCGGCCCTGTGAACTCTAGGGTAGTTCACCCACCCCTCTCGACTGTCCTGCTGCACGATGGCCGTTCGCGCAGCCTCTGGCGCCAGGCCCCAGGCCAGCCCGCTCCGGGGCACGTATTGTCGCCATCGATACAGACGCCATTCCCCGCGCAGACCGGTCACGTCCGGTGCGTCCCACGGTCCTTACTCATCCTGTTCTCGCAGGAATGTCTCAGTGGTGGTACCTGGCGTCGGCCCTGGCGTGCACGTGCGCATGAAACGTGGGTTTCATTCTTGCAGATTTTCGGCTTCACATTTTATTTTCTGAGAACAGACGTCGTGCAAAACCGTGTTCGGTAATAGTCGAAAAAATTGGGCAGAGAACTCTGCTGATTGAGGATCATTCGAAGAAAAGTTTTGCGGATCGCCCGCGCTTGCTTATTGCAACACTGTGTTCTAATCATTTACTTTGCAATTTAAAAAGGGATGCTTTGCAATTGGAAAGGGATGCTATTACAGTGTGTGTCGTTGCCTCGCAATTGCAGGCCATCACTTTGTAATTGCAAAGTAAATGCTCCGTGGTTAAAGGATCAAAATACTTTGCGGTGCTGCTAAGCATTGCGTTGTGAGAATTTAACAGTATATGTTCGCCCCTTTTTGAGTGTAGCGAGTAGACCACCGGCTGGGCCAGAAAACGGCCTCCAATTGGATCGGGGACTCTCAAGATGCAGTGGGGGCAGCAGCAGTGGCGCCGGGGGGTAAAA